CTTGAACCAAAAATAACAACCATCTCACAAGGTATGGCAAAGAAACTAATGCTTATAAGTATTGAATTTGCTCTCATAGTGCCTAAGGCACTTGACTGCTAACCAGAAGGCTAGTGGTTCAAACCCACCAGCCACTCCTTGGAAGGAAGGTTGGGCAATCTACTTCTGTAGTGATACCGCCTTGGAAAACCAAGGAAGGGTCACTATGAGTTGGGTCCGACCCGATGGCACATAACAACAACAACAACAATAACATAGACCTTGCTTCATGTCATTGGTCACAATCCCCACAGTGTAACAACTCTCTTCTCTTCCTCCCTGTGGTTGCTTTTTTCCTGTGTCCCTCTTTGCTGTGCAGTCCCTGTGCAGGTGCTGACCTGATCTCCCATGGTTGATTATTCCAAGGAGTGCACCTCCCTGGTGGAGTTCACCTTGCAGGCCTGACTTGGTGCTTGCCTGAAAGTTAAGCCATAGGAATGAGTTCAGTTCCAGGTGCAAAGGGAGACTGGAGACCATGGTCTCAGGGGTGTCACTAGTCTCTGTCAGATCAGCAATCCTTGTCTTTTTTATGATTTTGAGTTTTTTTGCACATTTTTCTCCCACTCTATCCAGCATCTCCATTTTGATCCCTTTCCGAGTGGTTGTTAGTGGTAGCCTGAGGTTCCCATGGACTAACTGGTACAAAATCACTCTTCTTGTTGTTGTTAGGTGCCTTCAAGTCAATGTTGACTCATAGTGAGCCCATGTACAGCAGAATGACATAGTGCTTGGTCCTGGGCCGTCCTCACAGTTGTTGCCATCCCTGAACCCATCATCGCAGCCACTGTGTCACTCCATCTCATTGGGGCTCTTCTCCTTTCTCACTGACCCTCTACAAAAACCGCAAGCCCTGTTGCTGCTATCAGGCCAGTTCTGACTCATGGCAACCCTATGTGTTACCGAGTAGAACTGTGTACCGTAGGGTTTTCTTGGCTGTAATCTCTACAGAAGCAGATTTCCAGGCCTTTCTTCCACAGCATGCCTAGGTAGGTTCCAATTGCCAACCCTTAAGTTAGTGGCTGAGAGCAAACTGCACCACGTAGGGACCTTCTTGAGGTCCAAAGGCAGCCAGTACTCAACTCTCCACGCTAATGCAAAGGACCAAGAGCATATATTATTTTTCAAACTAACAGAAATCTGAAGATCACTCACTATTCCTGGACTCTGGAAAATTTCATTTGGTTGATGTCAAAGTGAAGTTGAGTCAGGACCTTATGTAATTATGACCTCTTTCACTATCAAGGGAGCTCTGGTGGTACAGTGGTTAAAGCATTCAGCTGCTAACCAAAAATTCGGCAGTTTGAACCCACGAGTCGCTCTGCAGGAGAAAGATGAGGCAGTCTCCTTCCATAAAGATTGACAGCCTTGGAAACCTTTGGGGCAGTTCTACTTTGGCTTTCAGTGTTGCCGTGAGTGGGGATTGATTCGATGGCATTGGATTTTCAGTATCAGTCCGGTTTCTCAGTACTTAGCCTTCTTAAGGGTTTATGGGACAGCCCAATGTCAGATTACCTGATAAGCAAGGTAAGCATGGGCTTACTTGTGCTTACTTACTAATCTGTAGTGAACAGTTTAACTTTTTACCACATCAGAGATTCTGCTTCTAGGTATGTTTGGCATCTATCTCTCTCAACTCCACAGCACCTTCCTACAGAACCAAAGCTTCTTTTCAAATTTAAAATCCCTGATAAGAAGTACCTAGTAAGCGAGGTAAGCATGGGCTTACTTGTGCCCACTTACTAATCTGTAATGAACAGTTTCATGTGTTTTTCATCACATGATGTGAAGCTGTTCACTACAGATAAGTAGGTAAGAACAAGTAAACCTGTGCTTACCTTGCTTGTTGGATAATCCACTCTGAGACGGCCCTGACACCATGAACTACCAAGGGAAAAAGGCTCTATAAAGTGGGGGAAACCCAACTGAAAATATAAGTCACTGCAAAATTGGCCCAGGTGGGACTCATGTGTCTTGTAGCTGAAATAACCAAGTTAGATTTGAGGCATTTGGGCAGCAGGTGAAAGGTTTGTTCTGCCCTGAGACTCTACAAGATCAGTAAGCTGTGTGTGTGTCCTACGATTGTGAGTGTTCATTCTTTCTCATTCTTGGTTGGGCAAGGTAACCGAGAAGGGTTCCTGTGGAAACGGGGAAGGGACAATGCACAGTTCCTGAGAAGGAGGTTTGTCCTCCTGGCGAGAGAAGGTCTCCTGAAGTATTACACTAAAGAAGAGGTAAGAGGCCAGGCCAGCACTCGGCGGTCACCCCACCAAAGTCTACATTTTACTCAATGGTATCTTGTGGTACAATAGTTAAGCACTGAGCTGCTAACCAAAAGTTTAGCAGTTTGAATCCATCAGCCACTCCATTGGAAAAAGATGTGGCAGTCTGCTCCTATAAAGATTTACAGCCTTGGAAACCTTATGGGGTGGTTCTACTGTGTCTGAGATAGGGTGGCTATAAGTTGGAATGAACTCAACAGCAGTGACTTTGCTTTGTTTTTTTGTACCTTGTGGATAATCTCAGCCAATGAGAGAGTTAGGCCCAGCATTCCACCTTTTCCTTGGTTATACAGTCATTCCAGCCCATTAAAACATGCACCTTCTCTTCACCTAGATGTGACCTAGATTGGTCGTATTTTATTTCATTCACTCATTACATAGTAAATGTTTATTGAGCACCTGCTTTGTGCTCAATATTGTTCTAAGCAGTGGAAACACAGCAGTGAACTAAACAAAGCTCTTGTTCTCATGGAGCTCCCATTCAAGTGGAAGGAGACAGACAGAAACCAAATTATAAATCAGTATGGAATATATCAGATGGAGATAAGTTCTATGAAGAAAAATGAAAGAGATTTATGATTTAGAGAGTGATGGAGATTGAGAGGGTGCTCAGGGAAAACCATAGTGTGTTCAAGTGGTCTCTGATGACAGTTGCGCAGAGAACTGAATAAAACGTGAGGAGTGAGTTTTGTGGATCTCTCGGAGAGGATAGAAGAGGCAGAGGGGAGAATATGTGCAGAAGCCGTGAGCATGGCTATGGTTAGCACGTATACTTTTGTGCCAATTAGAAAAAGATGGTCCCTCTGAGAGGTGCAGCCCCCTTGGGCCCAGTCTGAGCAAGAAAAAGGCTGGAATCCAGTTCTCACTCACCCTCTCAGCTATGGCCTTTTGTGCAATGCACAAACTACTCAGCCATAAACTGTAGTCCTGGCCCTGAGGTGAGAGGGTGTTTGAAGGGCATCAAGAAGGCCAAAGTGACTGGTATAGAGTGAACAAGGGCAGGTTGAAGAGAGATGAGGTCACATAGTGGAGGGCCTTGGAGGGCACAGGAAGACTTTGGATTTTTTTTTTTTACACCTTTATTGAAATATAATTCATATACTATACAATTCACCCATTTAAAGTGTACAATTCAATGGCTTTTAGTATATTCACAGATATGTATAACCATCACCACAATCAATTTTAGAACATTTTTATCTCTCCAGAAAAGAAACCTTATACCCTTTAGTATAACCCCATCTCTCCTGTGGCCTTGGATAACCACTAATCTGTTTTCTTTCTCTATAAATTTGCTTCAGGAGCTCTGGTGGCACAGTGCCTAAGGCATTTGACTGCTAACCAGAAGGTTGGCAGTTGAAACCCACCAGCTTATTCTAGACATTTTGTATAAATGGAGTCATATAAGATGTGGTCCTTTTATCTGGCTTATTTGATTTAGTATACTGTTTTCAAAGTTTGTCTATGTTGTAGCATCTATCAGTACTTAATTTTTTAAATTGATGAGTAATATTCTACTATATATATACATGGGAGCTCTGGTGGTTTAGTGCCAAAGGCATTTAACTGCTAACCAGAAGGCTGGTGGTTCACCAGCCACTCCTCAGAAGGAAGGTTGGGCAATCTATTTCTGTAGTGATACTGCCTCAGAAACCCAAGGAGGGGTTGCTATGAGTCGGATCCGACTCCATGGCAGTGGATTTTTATTCTACTATATAAATATAAGGAGCTCTGATGGCGTAGTGCCTAAGGCAGTTGACTGCTATCCAGAAGGTTGGCAGTTCAAACTCACCAGCCACTCTGCAGAAGAAAGACTAAGCAATCTACTTCCCTAAAGATTTACTGCCTCAGAAACCCAAAGGGAGTCACTATGAGTTGGAATTGACTCAATGGCAGTGAGTTTAGCTTGGTTTTTATATAAATATACTACATTTACTTATCCATTTCACAGCTGATACACATTTAATTGTTTTCACTTTTGGGTATGGATAATGCTGATATGAATAGTTGAGTACAAATTTTTATGTGGACATAGGTTTTTATTTTTCTTGGGTTTATATCTTGGAGTGGAATTGTTGGGTCATATGGTATCACTATGTTTAACTTGTTGAGGAACTGCCAAATTGTTTTCCACTGTGGCTGCACCATTTTGCATTTCTACCAGCAATGGGCAAGGGTTCCAGTTTTTTCCCATTCTCACTAATACTTGTTAGGTCTTTGTTCACATCCCAGTGGGTGTGAAGTGCTATCACTTTGTGGTTTTGACCTGCATTTCCCTGATGGCTGTTGATGTTGAGCATCTTTTCCTGTGCATATTGGCCATTTGTGTATTTTCCTCAGAGAAATGTGTGTTCAGATCCTATGCCCAGTTTTTAATTGAGCAATTTGTCTTTTTATTACTGAGTTGTAATAGTTCTTTATATATTCCAGATTCAAGCCCCTTACATGACATACAGTTTGAAAAAAATTAGGCTTTTGGATTTGTGCAGTGCACAGATGTGAGTGAATGAGTGAGGAAGACACTGGAGGGTTTTGAGCAGAGAAGGGATATGATTTGACTTAAACATTTCAAAGGGAGCATTCTAGGGGAAGAGGAAGAAAGAGCAAAGGCAGAGAGACCAGTTAAGAGGGTATTGCAATAACCCAAATGAAGATTAATGGGACCATGAAAGTCAGGGAGGAGGTGGTTAGAAGATCCAAACCAGATTCTAAATATATTTTGGAAGTAAAGACAGTAGGATTGACTGAAGGATGTGTGGCATGAGAGAAAGAGGAATCAAGGATGACTCACAGATTTTGGCTTCTGCAGCTAGAAGGATAGATCTGTCATTTGCTGAGATGGCAAAGACTTAGCTCTCTTAGGGGATGATGAAGAGTCATTTTTAGTTTGAGATGATTATTAGTCATCCAAGTGGAGATATTGAGAAGGAAGTTGGATTCGTGAGTCTGGAGATTTGGGGAGAATTAGGAGCTAGAGTCCTGAGCACATAGATGGGATGGCTGAGGCCACCTAGACAGGGTGTGTGGAAAGATGCCCAAGGACTGAGTGTTTTAGCTGTTTGTTTCTGCATAACATAAATGCAAAACTTGAGTGGCTTGAAACATCAGTGTTTTATTTCTCACAGTCCTGTGGGTCAGGAATTTGGGCAAGCCTAGGCTGAGGAACTTCTGTTCCATGGGACATCAGCTGGGTCACTTACTCTGCTGTAGTTGGAGGGTGGCCTGGGCTGGAAGAATATGGACAAAATTCTTTTTTTTTTTGGTATTGAAAATTTTCTCATAGTAAGTTTTTAAAAAGGAAAGTCTTCCGGTAATCTTCCAATAAAACCATTGTTAAGAACAGTCCTGTAGGGAGGAGACTGGGTTAGGGTTGGACATAGTAAATGGGGACTGAAACTAAATGTACACATAATGTTGAATGCAAAACTAGCTCTTAAAAAAAAAAAGAACATTCCTGTAAATCCATCTATAATTTTCATGCATATACAAGTATGCATACATTATATATCATGTTGTTGTTGTTGTTATTTGCCATCGAGTCGGCCGCAACTCATAGCGACCCCTCCTTGGGTTTCCGAGGCAGTATCACTACGGAAGTAGGATTGCCCAACCTTCCTTTATATATTAATATGTAGTAGATACTAATGTTGTCATATTATATACTAGGGAGCTCTGGTAGCATAGTGGCTAAGGCACTTGACTGCTCACCAGATGGCTGGCGGTTCAAACCCATCAGCCACTCCTCGGAAGGAAGGTTGGGCAATCCTACTTCCGTAGTGATACTGCCTCGGAAACCCAAGGAGGGGTCGCTATGAGTCAGGGCTGACTCGACGGCACATAACAACAACAACAACAACATATTAATATAACATATGTTACATATTATATATAATATTTTATACATATATACACTCACATATAATTATTTATATTAATTGTTCCTACTGTACACCCTGTTCTGAGACCTGGCATTTCTCCCACATGGATATCATGGGCATTTTTTCATATTAGTTATACTGATCTAAATCATCCTTTAAAATATCCTGTGGTATTACATTGTGTGAATGTACCATGATTTATTTAACTCCTTCTCACTGAAGGACATTTAAATGGACACTTAAATTACTTCTTTTTTTTTTTTTTCTTTTTTGCTACCAATTACCTTACTTGGGATAAAATCTTAGATGTGAAATTGCAAAGCAAAACACTCAACATTTTTATAGATACGACCAAATCTCCCTCTAGACAAGACTGCCCAATACAACTTTTTTCAATGATGGAAATGTTCTATATCTGCCTGTCCAGTCCCCTAGCCACTAGCTACTGCTGGTTACTGAGCACTTGAAACGTGGCTAAGTGTGACTGAAAAACTGAATTTGAAATTTTATTTAACCTTAATAAATTTAAATAGCCACATGTGGCTAATGGCTACTGAATTGGACAGCACAGGTCTAGGGTTTGGGTCATTCTGCTCTCTTACTTATGTGGGAAAGCACTTCCCTTCCCATCCCTTCTCAGCATCAGTTAGTGCTCCGATTGTGTCTCCCTGCTGACTGCCAGCTTCCTCACTGTCCTTTTTCTCTCTTTCAGGGTAAAGGCCCCAAAGCTGTCATCAGCATCAAGGACTTGAATGCCACCTTCCAGACAGAGAAGATAGGGCACCCCCATGGGCTGCAGATCACCTACAGGAAAGAGGGTCACATCAGGAACCTGTTTGTGTATCATGAAAATGGGAAGGTGAGATGACTATAGTCCCCGCCCCAGCCTCCAGCTCAGCCCTCCAGGACACGGCAGGCCCAGCCCACCACCTCAGCCCCCAGGATTTGGCAGACCCAACCCCCATCACCCTTGCTCATTTTGTGACTTGCTCAGCTGCCTCTTGAGATTTGCTACTGCCCTTTGCCTTAATCCATTGTCACCTCTAGGTCAGGGGCAGAGATAAGAGGAAGACAGAGTGAGATCAGGGAGAGGAACCTGGTAGGTATCACCAATGGAGGTCCAGCTAGCAGAGAGCACTGTACCCATGGATGACCAATCCAGATAGGGCCAGACATTCTAAATACAGGAGGAGGAATGGATAGATGCTCAGGCTGGCAGTGGACTCTAAAGCCAGGCTTCTTAGGTGTTGTCCTGGACCAGTAGCGTTGGCACCACCTAAGAGCTTACTGGAGTCTCAGGCAAAGCCCAGACCTACTGAGTCAAAATCTGCAATTTATAAAACATCCAAGTGATTCCTGTACACACTGAAGTTTGAAAAGCACTGCTTAAAGATCCAGGAAATCAGCTTGGTTAGAGAAGGCCAATGATACAGGTCCAAGAAAGTAGGCTGGTTTGGCTCCAGAGTGAGGTCATGTGACTGGGCGGAGGATAGAGGTGCTTAGTGGGAATAGGGAGGGAAGAGGTGGAGGCTGACATTTTGTGACCATCTGTTTACTCTATGCTGGGTGCTGTTCTTGGTGGTTGTTGTACATCATTTCTTAATCCTCAAAACAACCTTGGAAACTTCTTATCCCCATGTTGCTGAGGCATGGACATGCTATTATTAGCCTGCAGTTTATCGCCCAGGGTCACACAGCACCCAGTTCACCACCTTATGTGCCTCTACTGGAGTGAGAATTTGGCAGCAGGAGCCAGGAGCCAAATGCAAGTACCAGAACCTTCCAAGGGGCCCTGGTATCAGATGGTGAACACAGATGGTAGGATAGAGGCTGCCCACCCCTCAGCAGGCTTCATGCTTTCTCTAGAGTGTGGGCAGATGCTTGGCAGGTGTGATCTGACAACCAGAAGGTGGAGTATGAAGAGCAGGGATTTGGAGTCAGAGTTGGAGCCCTGACTCTGCTGCTTCTAGCTATGTGGCTTGGGGAGGTCCCTTTCCTCCTGAGTCTATTTCCTTTTCTGTAAATTGGATTATAGCATCCACCTTCCAGAGGGGTTTTGAGGGTTGAGTGATCATGGACCATGAATGTAAAAACCTTTCAAAACAGCATTATAAACGTTTGTTGCTGTTGGTTATTATGTTATATCATATTATGTTGGCATAACTTTGGAGGCCAAATAAAGCATTTATGCAGGCTGGATGTGGCCCCCGTCCATCAGTTTGTGACTGGGAGACCTTTCAATGTAAAGTCCTGGGTGGGTCTTTTCTGAGTTGACCCCATTCCCTTAGTGCCCTTACAGAACCAAGTTTTTAACAACTCCTAGGACAAGAGAGCTCAGGACTCCAGCATACTGGGCCTGGATGCTTGACCTGAGAAAGAAAAAAAAAAAAAAAACAAAATCACTGCTGTCAAGTCAGATCTGACTCATAGCAACCCCACCTTGGGTTTCTAAGTTGGTTTCACTACAGAAGTAGATTGCTCAATCTTCCTTCTGAGGAGTGGCTGGTGGATTTGAACCGCCTGCCTTCTGGTTAGAAGTGAAATGCCTTTATGCTTCATTCCTTTGATGCCATATTCAAATGAATTTCTCAGTCACCATATTACATAAAAATCTAGCATTGTAGCTATTTGAACAGCCTTTTACCCTCTCAATTCCAAAGTCCTGTGGGAAAGAATCTGATAGGCCCAGTCTAGCCTCTGCATTGGTCCAGCCTTTGCCCAGCTGCTGTGGCAAAGAAGGAGGGTTAATCATAGTAGCAAATGTAGATGTAGCTGTGGGTGACAGGTGAGTGGGTGGGTGGGTGGGGATGGGTTCTCATAGAAGCAAGGCTTGGATTGAGCGAGCACCCCAGAATGTATCTGTTACAGCATCTAAACTAATGTGCAGGACAAGTGGGATGTTCCAGGTAAAAGGTATATGTGGGGGTGAGGATGCATGAGGCAAGTGTGCCAGAAGGAGGGAGTAGCATCTCTCAGGGAGACTGCAAATAGTTTTGGATGGAAAAAGCTCAGGAGGCAAAGTGTGTCATGCTAAGGAACTTAGACTTTTTTTCCAAGGGCAGTGGAGATGACTTAAGGCCAGAGACAATCAGATTTGTGATTAGGAAATCTCTTGGGCAGCCATGGGGAGGACCCAGTGGAGAGCAGCAGAGAAGAGGCAAGGTTGGCTAGAGAAGGCCAATATGGTCTCCAGGGAAGGGATGATGATGGCTAGGATCTCCAGGCAGTGCATTCTTCCAGACCAATAGCAGAAAGGGCCAAGTTAGCTTTGGCCTAAGTTGAACAGCAGGTGAGGAGCATCCCAGGGCCACCTGCCCCGACCCAGAAGCCATTCCCTTTTGTTTGTTTGTTTTTTCATTTTTATTGTGATTTGGGTGAAAGTTTACAGAGCAAAATCATTTCCCATACAGCAGTTAATACACATTTTATTTCATGACATTGACTACAATCCCCACAATGTAACAGCTCTCTTCCTGCTTCCTCCTGGTAGTTACCTCTTCCCTGTGGTCCTCTTTCCTATGCATTCCTGCCCCCTGAGCTATCTCCCTGTGCAGATACTGCCCTTCTGTTCTCCCATGATCGATTGTTCTAAAGAGTGTATTTACCTTGTGTAAATGTTTACCCTATATACCTGACTACTGTTTGGCTGGAAGCCACCAAAAGCCATTCTTTGACATCTGAGGACAACTCTTTCTCGGCCCTTGTTTCTTAAAGTTTGGTCCCCAGAAGTAGCATCAGCATCATTTGGGAGCATATTGGAAATGCAGAATCTGAGGCCCCACCTGAAACTTACTGAGTCAGAACCTGCACATTAACAAGATCCTCAAGTGATTTGTATACGTGTCAGCGTATGAGGAGCACTGGGCTAGGCCATTGCACTGACTCTCTGGGTGGTGCAAACAGTTAAGCACTAGACTACTAACTCAAAGGTTGGCGGTTCAAACCCACCCCAAGAACCCACTTAACTTGGAATTAAGGCCTGGTAATCTGCTTCCAAAAGGTCACAGCCTTAAAAACCCTATGGAGCCATTCTACTCTTCACACATGGGGTTGCCATGAATTGGAATCAACTCAATGGCAACTTACAACAACAACAACAACAGCAAGGCCATTGTGTGACTCCCATATGGCTCACCTTGGTCCTTTTCTCACAGTTCTGGAGTTCTCCTTGTCAGTGACTTCCAACTGACATTGTCAGTCCTTTCTGGGAACAAGATGGAGTCGAATGCCTTTGATGAGCCTATAGGGTCCTGAAACTCTTTGTACCTTCAGGTGTAGAGTGCATGGCTGAAGGCATGTACCCCAAAACTGATGATGCAGCTAGCCTCCCGCCACCAGACTCGGCCCCAATCCCCAACTCACCATCTGTGTGTGGTTTGCATTTTTCTTGGCAGGAGATAGTGGACTGGTTCAATGCCCTCCGCGCAGCCCGTCTGCAGTACCTAAAAACGGCCTTTCCTGAGCTTCCAGAATCTGAGGTGAGCTAAATGTGGTCCCCAACTTCTGAGTCTCCTCTCTGCCCCCTCCTCCTCCTCCTCTACTGACTCTGATGGTACTCAGAGACCAAACTGGGTTTGTTTGCAGGCAAGGCCTTGAGGCCTGGGGCTGGAGCACCATGGAGGGAAACCAAAGACTTTCTTCTGAGGAACCTTGTGGAACATGGGCTCACGCAACACAAAATGGCCTCCAGAAAGCAGGCCCGCTGTCCCCTTTAGGATGCATGGTCATTAGCCAGAGTAGAGTATGAGACGGCTTGAGATTTGGACATCTCCTTTTGACCCCTTTTTCCACTAGAGGTACACATAATCCTCAACATACTGCTTACAAAGTGCTTTTGATTTTATCTTGTGATCCTTTCCCTCTAATAATCCATTGTAGCAGGCAGTTAGGCAGGGATGAGTATTCCCATGTTAGATGAGAAACTGAGTCCCAAGATGGTCAAGTGAATGACTGAAGGTGCTCTTCCCATTCCAACATCCCCCTTTGCCTCATGGTGCTCTGGCCAGGAAGGCAGTGGGACCCTCCCCATTACAACTGTAACAGACCAGGTCTCCCTTCTGTGCCCCAGGTAATGGTCAACTGGAGAACTTCCTTTTGGCTGTCCTTAGACAAATAGGGCACACATGTGTATCTCTCTAGTGTGGCTGGGGGAGATTGCATGGTGTTGGGAAGAGGATTCTTACCTTGAGCTGAGAGGCCTGGGCTCTCCTTGATGCTCTGTCACTAACATGCTGTGTGACCACTGCAGGTCATATCAGCTCTCTGAGCATGTTTCTGTGTCAGTAATATGGTGCTTGGTCTGGCTCATCTTTCGAGGGCACTTCCAGCTCGGATATGCTGTCTAGTCCCTGTTTTCACCCTCTTCTGAGTGGATTTGTAGGGGATGGACTATGTAAATCTTGGGATTTTTCTTATTCCAAACTGCCAGACCCTCCTTGAAAGCCTAAATGCCACTTAATTTCAAGGTTTGCAGAGTGCTAAGTGCCTGGGGGTGCACTGGTGGTTCCGTGGTGAAATTCTCTTTCCATGTGGGAGACCGCGGTTCAATTCCCAGCCAATGCACTTCCTGTGTAGCCACCACCCATCTCTCAATGGAAAGATGTGTGTTGTTAGGGTGCCGAACAGGTTCCAGCAGAGCTTCTAGACTAAGATGGAGTAGGAGGAAAGACCTGGTAATCTACCTCCAAAAATCAACACTTGAAAACCCTGTGGATCACAAGTGTCCAATTGTCAACCAGTCATGGGGACAGCACAAAACAGGCAGAATCTCATTCTGTTGTGCATGGGCCCCCCATGAGTTGGGGGCTGACTTGCCAGCAGTGAGCGACAATAAGTGTCTGGAGTAGAGGTCTGCTCCAGGCCCAGTGATGCACTGAGATGACAGTTCTCTGGGGGCATTTCCAGCAAGGCCTGGGCCAGGGCCCTGCTGTCTGCTAAGTCAGCACTCAGGGCTGGTCAGTGCTGGCTCCCTGTGGGCGGGCAGTGGGTTGGGAGTGCTCACTGCTGACTGGAGGGCTGACTGGAGGGGAGAGGAGGACAAAGTGCAAACGCTCAGCATTATTTAATGTGGGTTAGCTTTCCAACTTTGCTGACCCATGTGGAGGATATTGGCCATTGGCCAACATCCTCAGTGTCCTCTAGCCTCCCTCATCCACCCTCTTTACTCCTTGCCTGCCCACACCCCTACGCACACCCTATTTCCTCCCAACGCACCTCTCTCCTCTCTTTCCTCCCGCTTTATCTCTGTGTCTGATGTGAGGTTCTGGACAATCACCCAAGCCTGGCTCTCAGGTTTATGGACCGAGACACCAGGAACCAGGGGAGTCCCAGTGGGGCTGTGGTCCTGTTGTAAGAAATGTATAGACTCTAAAGTTAGAGAAGCTGATGTGTTACTTAGGGAAAATCACTTCACCTCTCTGAGCCTCAGTTTACTCATCTGTCATCATGGGGAAAATACCTACCTCCCATGGCTATTGTGAGAATCAAGTAAGTCAAGGCCCATAAGGCATAGTAAGTGCTCCATCATTGTGATTTCCCTTCTTTTACCAGTTGTTTCCCTCAACCTAGGTTGGCTTTGGCTCGAAGTTCGGCTACCGAGCAGGTGGGAACTCTCATTTTGCTGCAAGGAGAAATTAAAACCTAGAGCACAATTTTAGGCCGGAGCATGTGATACAGCTTATATTTTCATTTCCGGGTCACAACACTCCCTCTTTCATCTTCCCCATTTGTTCCCCAAGCCTCTGCTCCTCTTTGCCCTGGCTCTGAGTCCTGGAGCCCAGAGCCCTTCTCTGCTCTCGGACCCTGGGCTGTTGTCTGTGATGCTAAACTTGCCATGTTGCCTCCCAGAGCCCTGGAGGCCAACATTAAGCCCTGGAAGACTTCTCTGAGCACAGGAGAGCAAGCTAGAAGGGCTCTTGGAAATTACATAAAACAGTCTCCTAATTATTGCACAAGGGAAAACAGGCCCAGAGGGGTATAAGTTCTTGCTAAGGTAACACAGCTGCTTGAGGTCAGAGCTAGGACTAGAACCCAGGGCTGCTGCCTCCTCGTCCAGAGCTTTGTCTGCTTGCTCATCTGCCACCACTTCCTTATGGCCCTGTCAGAACCCCCACCTATGACCAGGTCTTGGCCAGAGGGTGCAGAGCATGCACAGCTGGTGTGTTTATATTGCAGCAGCATAGCGTGGTAAAGGCGGTCCTATGTAACATCCATCAGCCCGGGATGTGATTCCAGCTCCAACCAAGTACACAACTTTGGGAAAGCCCCTGACCACTTCGCAGAGGATGATTTCTTCATATGTAGAATGAGGGTGATAATACCTACCTTGAAGGGTGGTTGTGAAAATTACACCCAGAACCAGACACACAGAAAGCCTGTGGAATATGCTTCCTGGCACTGGGAGGGTCTCCTTGGTGTCTTAACCTATCTGCACGCTCTGGGGTTATTGAAAAACTAAAAATCAATTGCCATGGTGTTGCCTCCGATTCATAGTGACCCACTATGTGTCACTGGGATTGTGTTCCATAGGGTTTTTAATGGCTGATGTTTCCAGGTGAATCACCAGGCTTTTCTTCTGAGGTGCCTCTAGATAGACTCAAACCTGCAACCTTTCTGTTTGCAGCCAAGCATGTTAACCATTTGCATTCCCCAGGGACTCCAGGGTTACTGAAGGAGTCTTTAAACCAAGACCAGCTCAGCCATGCTGATAAGCTCTGCAAACATCTGGGGTGCTGTCATCTGGCTCTGTTGAAATATTAATCTTGCATCCATTCCATGTTCCTAATATAGCCCTGTGAACTGTGAACACATATCCTTCCCCATTCCAAACATCCCCTTTGTTGGAGAACAACAAGCTCAGTGGGGAACCTCGAGCCCCTGAGGTTTGAGCCAGGGGGTCAGTATCTGTCTCTCTTCCTGCAGCTCTCGCCCCTCATCACCAGGAATTACCTCAAACAAGGCTTCATGGAAAAGACTGGTCCAAAGGTACATTCTACTAACCCCCTGGGAAATTTACATGGCCCTTGTTTACCTGGGAGGTGGGGATATGGGGTGCTAGGGGGAGGAAGCAGAAGTAAACCTGTGTTTGTGAGCTCGTGGGTTGCAGGACTGATTGGAGACTGATTAACTGGCAAAGGACCCAGCAACGCTGCAACGTTTCTCCCTGTCACTGCAACCCCCCTCTTTCTTTCTTTAAAATTGTGGTTAACTATATATATATAACAAATTGTTTGCCTTTTCAACATTTTTTACATGTACACTGCAGTGATTTTAGTTATGTTTATCATGTTGTTCTACATCACCATTACCCATTTCCAAATTTTCCCATCACCCTTAACAGAAGCTCAGTGTCCCCTGAGCAGTGAGTCCACCTTTTCCCCTCATATTCCACCCCTGGAAACTGCTAGTGAACTTTGGTCTCTATACACTTGCCTATCCTAGATATTTCACATAAGTGGGGTACCTCCTCTTTATCACCATCACCATCCCCTTCTTTCCTTTAAACTTCATCTAACTGATTCCACCCCTAGGAAAGCATAGCTGAACAGAGACTCACTGGAGAGGCAGCTTTGTACTTTCCAGAGCTCTCACAAGTTCTATTTTGTTGAAGCCGTACAGGGCCAAGCTACTGGTCTGAGAAAATGAGGCACACAGACACACCCATGCTTGAGTGCCAGTGGGGGCCCACATGTACATGTCCCTCCCCCAGAATACACTCCCTCCTCCAAACTCAGCCTCTGTTTTCTTTTGCTTTGGTACCTGCCCCAGCCTCCAGGGCTGCTCATTCTCACTGATCTAAGAAGGAAGGCCCTTCTTCACCCCTCTGGGTGGTCCAGGGCTCTGGCTGCCTCAGCAAGGGGTCTCAGTCCCAGCCTGAAGCGGGTGGGGCTGGGCTCAAAGTCTGAAGTCTGGCTGGAGGCTGGGAAGGGTTTGTGAGGGGAGGGCTGGTGAGAAGGGGAGAAAGAAAGAGAAAGGAATGAAAAAAGCAGAAATTCAAACAAAACTCACTGCCATCGAGTGGGATC